GGCCTCAAGTCATCCTCCTGCCTCAGCCTCCCAAAGTGGGGGGATTATACGTGTGAGCCACCACACTTGGCCTTGGGTTTGAATTTTATACTCGAATTGTACTCTTGTGGAATTTGTATGTAAAGTAAACAGCAAATAATAAAACACCCCAATTATCTTTCCATTGGTGATATCTAGACCTAACTCTTTCAGCCACATTGTATAAATACAACGTGATTTATTTAATCTCTCCCTTATCATAGCCATTTTATGTTGTGTCAGATTTTTTTTTTTTCTTGAGCCAGTCTCACTCTGTCACCCAGGCTGGAGTGCAGTGGCGCCATCTAGGCTCACTGCAACCTCTGCCCCGTGGGTTCAAGCCATTCTCCTACCTCAGCCTCCGGAGTAGCGGGGATTACAGGTGCATGCCACAGTGCCTGGCTAATTTTTGTACTTTAAGTAGAGACGACGTTTCACTATCTTGGCCAAGCTGGTCTTGAACTCCTGAACTCATGATCCACTTGCCTTGGCCTCCCAAAGTGCTGGGATTACAGACGTGAGCCATTGCACTGGGTTGCGTCAGTTTTTTTAAAACTTACAACCAAAAAAAAAAAAAAAAAACCCTAAAAAATATATATCTTTGTGAAACTGTGTAGGTATACAGGTTGGCTAAATTCCAAGGAATAGAATTATTGGGTCAAATAATTAGTGAAATATTATACTTATCATTTAATAGAGTTTGCCAGGCCGGGTGCAGTGGCTCATGCCTGTAATATCAGCACTTTGGGAGGCCGAGGTGGGTGGATCACAAGGTCAGGAGTTCGAGATCAGCCTGACCAACATGGTGAAACCCCATCTCTACTAAAAATACAAAAATTAGCCGGGCGTGGTGGCACACACCTGTAATCTCAGCTACTCAGGAGGCTGAGGCAGGAGAATCGCTTGAACCCAGGAGGCAGAGGTTGCAAGAGTCAAGATTGTGCCATTGCACTCCAGCCTGGGTGACAGAGTGAGACTCCATCTCAAAAATAGAAGAAAAATAGAGTTTGCCAAATTGCCCTATATAAAAAGGTTGCATCAATATCTGAGGAGTGCCCATTTCCTGACAAGCAAGTCAACAATATGATCAAGTTTCTAAACTTTGAGAAAATCATGCTTCAAACATGATAAGGTATAATTGTTTTGATTTGTGTTTCTTTGAGGTTGAGCATCTTTTCATATGTTTCACATGTTTATTATTAATTTGCATTTCTTTTCTGTGAACAAATCTGTTCATGTCTTTTGGCACATTTTTCTATGGGTTGTTTATCATTTCATTAATGATAAACATTTTACTAATGATAATCATTTTACAAATGATCTGTAAGAGCTTTTAGATTATTACAAATTTAGATTACATAGATTATTACAAAGGCTACTTTTGACAGTCAATATTTATGGTTTTTTTTTTTACTTTACTGAAGTTTAAAATTTTTATGCAATTAATTTGTCAGTATTTTCCTTTGGTGGAGAAAGTAAGTTTGTCACAGGCAGTTGAATTCTGAAGCCATTAGTAAGGTTGCAAGGCACCTTACTTCCTTGCTTGCCTGCTGAAAGGCCCTTCTCCACAAAGGGGTCCCTCACAGCAGAGCCCCTCCCTCTGAGGTGTCATATTTCAATGTTCTAAGAAAGAGGCTGCCTGGAGGGTCTATATTTAGAGTATGACTCCTCATTGGGGACAGGTGGATATGTGGGGACTAACTTCTGCAGCGAGATCTCAAAGTGTCATGATGGAGTGAAAATTCCACCTGTTAAGCCTCCTTTCCATCCATGCTCCAGCAGTTGGTCTTTCCATGGGTGTGGTGAGGCTGATCTGATTACATACTTATGTGAAATCCAAATAAAGCCCCTCAAATGGAAAACAGGTTAATTTGGGAAGTCACTAGTAAAGCACTAGGCTCATCAGGAGTTGGGTCTTAAATAAATCCTCTAGGAGTCTTCTCTGAAGAAGGTCTCAGGCACCTGAAAAAAGATGCTAAGTTCAGCCAGAACCTCAAAAGTTACAAATCACTTGTGTAAAATTGTCAAGATTAGTATACGAAATGTCTTTCCAAAGGTTAATTTATAGATCATATTGAAAACGTACTGGTTTCGTTTAGGACAGTTTTGTATTAAAAATGTCAAGAATTACTATTCCGTTTTGAAAGCAGTGAAATAGTTTACAGTAACTAGAAAACATTTTTTAAATGTGGCACAAAATAATGTAAACCAATGAATGAGTTTTTTTATTTTTATACCCTGAATTTTTTTTGTGTCAAGTGAAATGGCTATACTGTATTTTTCCGATGACAAAATTAGAAAAGAATGTCATATTAAAAGAAAAAAAGGAACACAAAAAAGAAAGTTAAAGCTCTATTTGCACTTTCTGCTTTCCTTCTTGATACCCTCTTCCACAGCCCATTTGGTGCATGCATTATATTTAGAGAGGGCAGGTCGTGTAGGAGGAGCGTGGGGAGTGCTGGTCTTATAGCCTGAGAGAAAGAAAGGATTCCTCAAAGAAGAAGCAGAAAAGGCCACAGCCAAGGTCTAGGAGTGGGTAGGGGGATGCAGAGCCTCTCCGGTAAGTGAAGATGGGTAAACTCCAACCGCAAGGCGCTGATGCCACTTGTGGGCCCTCAGATTGGAGAGGACTGAGATGAGTGACAAGGGCGTGCTCACTGGGGCACGGCGCACAGACCGGAGAAGGGGGATGTCTGTGCGTGCGGAGTGGGGGAGGGGGGTTCCTAGCGACTGGCCGCCGGCCCTTGAGGGGTGGTGGGTGGTGGTGGGGAGGAGGGAGAGCTCGGTGGTGACGCGCGGCCCTCACGTGACCCGGAGCTGCAGAAAGACGCAGCCTTCGGTGCAGTCGTCACTCGCTTCTGGCTACCAGCTCCCCGCTGCCCTGCGCTCGGCGGGCTGGCATCCGGCCCGGGGAAAGCAGAGCAGGTAAGGGCCTCGGGGGCCCGCGAGCCCTGGCCAGGCCGGCAGCGGCTCACCGACCCCGGCAGAGGTTACGGGGCTTGCGGGGGCGGTGGTCTATGCTGCCTCAAGTTCGAGGAGCCTTTGCCTCTGATTCTCGCGAGCCCCCCTGCCCCCGCCTACCTCTGTGCAGGCAAACTGTGGGCTTTGATTTGTGGGGAGATTGTGTCCGCCAGAGGGAAATACAGAGATTGAGATGCCCATTCTCTGTAATCATTGGTCACACACGTCCGCTAGGTTCCTGCTCAATTTTGTGGAAGGGATGCGCCACGGTGGCGTTTGCAGAGAAAATGGTGGGCCTTAGAGACTGGACGGTGGGGTTGGTAGGGGTGGTGTTTCAGACTGTGGGGAGGGACGTTTGATAACCAGGTTCCTGAACCTGGAGAGGCGGATATTGGGATCTGTGTCCTGGGTGCCAGAACAACACTAAGTGGCTTTACTCTCTCCTGTAGGACAGTAGTTCGGTGTGGCACTATTTGCGGCGAGTAGAAAGGAAGAAGGAGAGGAGGAAATTGCACTGGTCAAGGAGGTTAGTGTGAGTACAGGCACTGTTTAAACTGTTGGAGTTCTGTATGAATTCTATGACAGGAACTTAGGTGTGGCTGTCTGATTGGGTTGTGGGGTGGGGCTAGCTTGGGGACTTTCCCTAAACCGCATTTTTCTTAGCAAGGTTAGGACTTTTAAATTGTGTGTTGAAGACCAATAAAGACAGTAAACGTTTCTATGGATGCTTTCATTTGAATTTCAGATAATATTGGAAAAAATATACATTGTATCAAAGAATATTACTTATAGCCTTTGGCAGGGAGGGATGGTGATTTTGTAGAAGCAAAAGACTTCCCCTTTCGCTTGTCGTTTCTGCTGGAGACTCCTAGAGATAGGTTGAAAGGGATGTGGACAGTAGTAGGTTGTGATTCTATGTATGGGATCTAGGGGCTCCCATCTCTCCTGCCATCCTCCAGTTTTCCAGATCCTTCTACTTACTTGACCATCTTGGTGAAGGAAATGGTGGGCTTTTGGGGAAATCCCTAGAAACCTACAGGTGGTTTTAAAATAATTTGCCTTGCTGGGCCTGATGGCTCTCGCCTGTAATCCCAGCACATTGAGAGGCCCAGGCAGGAGGATTGCTTGACCTCAGGTGTTCAAAACCAGCCTGGGCAACATAGCGAGACCTTGTCTCTACATATAATTTAAAAATTAGCTGGGCATGGTGGCACAGTCTGTAGTCCCTGCTACTTGGGAGGCTGAGGTGGGAGGATCTTTTGAACCTGGGAGGTCGAGACTGAGGTGAGCCATGATCGTGCCACTGCACACCAGCCTGGATGGCAGAGTGGGACCCTGTCTCAAAATAAATACATAAAAAATAAAATAGCCTCTGTCTGTTGCCTTTTACTTTTCCTGCCTCCCTTTTCCATCCTTTTCATTTTAGTGCTGGGGAAGCCCCAGGCCTTTTTCTGCCAGCAAATGGGTCTCTAAATCCAGATAGACAGGTACACGGACCCATGTTTTAGATGGTAAAGTGTCACAAGTACTTAACATCCACTGTCTTCTTTTTCTCCATCTGTTCCAAGGTCTTCCCATAGGCGTGCAGTAAGGCTATCTACCACTGGAAGCAAGGGAAAAAGGAGGAGACCAACCTAGAAACATGGAGGTTGGTGTGAAGTAGGGGCAGTCTCTGGGGATGAAAAGAGAAGGTGGGAATACAAGGTGACTGAGATTTAAGAGGGTCTCAGTGGAGTGCTGGATTGCTGCAGTGCTGCCATGTTTCCTGTGAATTTCAGTGCAGGATATGATAGGAATACTGGGGTAAGGGTGGGCTGGAGTATGACTGGGAGAAGACTTGAGGTGGGGACCATGAGATGATACACATTAGTATATTGAACCTGGGCTCTGGCGAGGCAGACATTGGGGTCATAAATCAGGGTACTTGTCTGTTCTACCAGCGACTCAGTTTCCATTTACCTACTCTTTGTTTACTTGTCCATAGATCTGCCTGCATGTCTACTGCAGGACTTGAGATCACTGGAAGCAAAGAAACAAAGAGGAGATTGCTCCTGATCAGTATAGACTGGTAAGAGTTTGGGGACTGCATGGGTAGACCTCTAGGGTGGGTTGATGGAGACCAATTTGCATCCGGTAAGGATCAGTGACCAGTTAGGAGGATCCTCAGCCTCTTCTTTTCCAGCCATCTTTTTCACCGTCCCTGTTACTTACTCCATACCCTCACCTTAACTCTGGTACAGGATAAAGAGTGTGATAGCATCTTGGGGATTGGGGTGGACTGACAAGTGTAGAAAGGTAGTTTGCTAATAATATGCCTATCCTATCAATAACAAACTCTCTACTCCCATCTGTCCCCCCATCTGTCTCTCTGTCTCTAGATCCAAAGATCTCATGAATTTATATATCTACTTCACGGTGTATTGCCAAGAGAAGCAAGAGGAGAGGAAGGAATTACCTTGGATCATTACAGGTTGGTATTAGGGTGGGGTCCTGTAGACTGGTGACTGGAGTAGTTCCAGTAGAAATCAAAGTCTGGGGCTTCTCAGTTGCTCTCATTTATTGTCAGACCTCCTTTCATCCTTCCCACTGTTCATTTGATGTATGGAAATGTGTATAGATGTACCTTGGAAGAAAATCACTGGGCACTGGGGAAGGTGGAGAGAAGATGAAATAAGACGAATGGAGAGTCTGCTAATCATCCTCTCTTCCACCAAGCACACGATTCTACCTTTTTCTTTCTGTTTCTCTGTGTATCTATCTGTATAATGCAACAAAATCAGAAGAGAAATTTTAGTCCATTTCCTTCCTCCACTTCTAGGTCCACCTCCAGTGGCAGCTGTAGTGGCCTTTGAGTGGCTGAAGACCAGCACCTTCACAGGCATACATCCACAACTACCACTCTCTTTACTCCAGCCCGAGTACGCTCTACCATACCTTGTTTGTGCCTTCAGCAAGGGTGATTACATGGGCCGCATTCAGGAAGTGGGCTGGGTGACTGCAGGACTGGTGATCTGGGCTGGCACCTGCTACTATATTTACAAATTAACCAAAGGAAGAGCCCAGAGTGTGAGAACACTTGCCAGAAATGAATCCACAGTTAAGATGGAAACTGTGGTTGAGGTACAGAACCGGACCTTGGCCACAGGTGCAGCAGAGATTGAGACTAAATCCCAGGCTGAGATTGAAGCAGAAACTGGAGCAGGAGGTGGGCCTAGGGCTGAAGTAGAGACCAAGGCCACTGCTATAGCCAGACACAAAGCCAACTCTCAGGCCAAGGCAATGATTGGGGCAGCGGGAGAGATTCAATCTGAGTCCAAAGTGGTGGCTGGAACACTGGTCATGACAGAGGCAGTGACTCTGACTGAGGCCAAGGCCAAAGACAGGGAAGTGGCCATGAAAGAAGCAGTGACCCAAACTGATGCTGAGGCTGGCAAAATAGTTAAGAAAGAAGCAGTGACACAGACCAAGGCTAAAGCTTGGGCATTGGTTGCCAAGACAGAGGCCAAGAGAGAAGCAATGACTCAGACCAAAGCTGAAACTCATATATTGGCTGAAAAAGAGGTAGAGATTAACAGAGTAATGGTTACACAGAGTGAGACCTTGGCAGTACCTGGGGAAGTAGCCAAGATGGGGGCCATGAACAAGACTGGAATTGTGGATGAAACCAAGACAAGAGCTCTGGAAGAGACTGTGAGTGTGGCTAAGACTCAGTCTGAGGCCAGGCCTGGTTCCACAGTTGATGCTAGGGGAAATCCCAATGGCATGTCCAGGGAGGTGGCTGGAGTGGACCTGAAGTCCTGTGCACAGTCTCAGACTGTGATGGAGATCCAGGGTGATGACATGCCTGGTGCTAGGGTTGAGGACATGGGGAACTGCAAAACCATGTCTAGGGAAGAGTCTGGGGCAGACATGAGGGCTTCTGCTCAGCCTCAAATTGTTGCCAAAACCCAGATTGAGGCCATTCCTGGGGCAAAGGTTGATGCCGGGGGTAACACCAATGCCATGTGTAAGGTGGGGGCAGGGGCAGATGTGAGAACTTGTATACAACCTCAGACTGTGGTCAAGAAACAGGCTGAGGTGACGTCTGGTGCCAGGGCTGATGGCAGGGGAAATACCAATGTCATATCTAAGGCAATAACTGGAGCTGACATGAGAGCTGCTACTCAGCCTCAAGCTGTTGCCAGTCCTCATGCTGAGGCCATGTCTGATGCCAAGGTTAAGGAGAGAGGCAGTCACAATGCCATGACTAAAGCAGGGGCCAGAACAAACTTGAGGGCCAATTCCCAGGTTGAGGCCTTGCCTAATGCCAGAGATAAGAGCAGAGGCAATCCCAGTGTTATGGCTAAGATGGGGGATGCGGCAGACATATTGTCCTGTATGCAGCCTCAGCTTGTGGCCATTGTTCAGGCTAATACCTTGTCTGATGGCAGAATTAAGGTCAAGGGCAATGTCAATAGCATGCCCAAGGAAGGATCTGGGATGGATATGAAGGCTCAGGGTATGGCCCAGAGCCATGGTGAAGCCTTACCTAATACTAGAGGTAAGTCTAGGGCCAAAGCCAAAGCCAAGTGCAAGACAGGGGCCGGGATGGACACAAAAACCTGTGCACAACCTCAGGCTGGGGTCAAGACCCCAGCTGAGGCCTTGCCTGATTCCGGGGTTGATGGTAGGGGCAATCTTAATGCCATTTCTAAAGCTGGAACTAAGGCAGACCAGAGGGCCTGTGGTCAGCCCCTGGTTGTGGTCAATACCCAGGGTGAGGCCTTGCCTGGTGCCAAGAATAAAGCCAAGGGCAATCCCCATGCTGTGCCTAAGGTGGGGGCTGGGGAAGGTACAACAGACTCTGTCCAGCCTCAGGCAGTGGTCAGTTTCCAGGGCGAGGCCTTGCTTGGTACCAAGAATAAAGTAAAGGGTAATCCCAATGCTGTGCTTAAGGCAGAGGTTGGGGCAGGTGCAATGGGCCCTGCTCAGCTTCAGATTGTGGCCAGTTCTAAGGGTGAGGCCTTGCTTGATTCCAAGAATAAGGCCAAGGGCAATTCCAATGCTGTGTCTAAGGCAGGGGCTGGGACAGATACAATGGGCTCTGCCCAGCCTCAGATTGTGGCCAATTCCCAGAGTGAGGTCTTGCCTGGTGCCAAGAATAAGGTCAGAGGCAATCCCACTACCATGTCTAATTCAGGAACTGGGCCATATATAACGGACTCTGCCCAGCCACACGCTGTGGCTAGTTCCCAGGGTGAGGTCTTGCCTAGTGCCAAAAATAAGGGCAAGGCCAATCTTCATGCTCTGTCTAAGGCAGAGGCTGGGATGGGTGCAACAAGCTCTGTCCAGTCCCAGGCTGTGGCTAATTCCCAGGGTGAGACCTTGCCTGGTGCCAAGAATAAGGTCAGGGGAAATTGGAACACTGTGTCTAAGGCAGGGACTGGGATGGATACAACAGGCTCTGCCCAGCCTCAAGCTGTGACCAATTCCCAGAGTGAAGTCGTGCCTGGTGCCAAGAATAAGGTCAAGGGCAATCCCAATGTTGTGTCTAAAGCAGGGGCCAGAGAAGATACAATGGGCTCTGCCCAGCCTCAGGTTGTGGCCAACTCCCAGCATGAGACCTTGTCTGGTGCCAGGAATAAGGTTAAGGGCAATTCCAATGCTATTTCTAAGGCAGAGACTGGGTCAGGCATAATGGGCTCTGTCCAGGTCCAGGTTGTGGCCAGTTCTCATGGTAAGGTCTTGCCTGGGGCCAAAAATAAGGTCAGGGGCAATTCCAATGCTGTGCCTAAGGCAGAGGCTGGGGCAGATACAGTGGGCTCTGGCCAGCTCCAAGCTGTGGCTAATACCCAGCGTGAGACCTTGCTTGGTGCCAGGAATAAGGTCAAGGGCAATACCAAAGCTGTGCCTAAAGCAGGGACTGGGGCAGACACAAGGGACTCTTCCCAGCCTCAGATTGTCACCGGTTCCCAGGGTGAGACCTTGCCTAGGGCAAGGGACAAGGCTATGCCCAGTTCTGAGGCAGAAGCGACAGCAGAAGATGAGGTCTATGCAAAGCCCGAGGCTGAGGCCATGCCCACTTCTGAGAGTGAGGGTGGGTCAGGCACTCAAGTCTGCAGAAAGACTCAGCCTGACATCCATGACTACTACTGGAATGGGATTGGTGTTGAGGATTGGATTGCTGCTGAGCGGTGGATCAAATTTAGGTTTCAGACCATGGATGGAGACTGGGAAAATGGTGTGTCCTGGGCTGATGATGAGAATGAAGCCAGTACTGGGTCCTGGAGTGGGGCTAGTGATAAGGCTGGGATTATTAGCTCTTGGGCTGTGGCTTGTGATGAGGCCAGTGTTAAGTCCTGGGCTGGGGTCAGGGCTGAGAATGAGGTTAGTATTGGGACCTGGGTTAGAGCTGGGGAGCAGGCCAGTGGAGGGCTCTGGGTGGGGGGTCAGACTAGTGAGGGGACCTGGGCTGGGGACAAGGCCAGTGGAGGGGCCTGGACTGTGGCTGAGAACCAGGCCAGTGGGGGGACTTGGGTTGTCGCTGGAAATCAGGCCTTTGGAGAAATTTGGGCTGTGGGTCAGGCCAGCGATGGGTCCTGGCCTGGGGGACAGGCCAGTGGGGTGTCCTGGCCTGGAGGACAGGCCAGTGGGATGTCCTGGGTTGGGGAACAGGCCATTGGAGGGTCCTGGACTGGGGCTGAGAACCAAGCCAGTGGAGGGTCTTGGGCTGTAGTTGGGGCTGGGAATATGAGTAGTGTTTCATACTGGGCTGGGGTTGTTGACCAGGCCAGTGGAGGGTCCTGGGCTGGGATTAGCGATCAATCTGGTGGTGGATCCAAGCCTAGATTTGAGGATCAAGCCAGTGGAGAAGGGTCCTGGGCTGGGGCTGGTGGCCAGGCTAGTGGAGGGTCAAGGTTGGGGCCTGAGGAACAGTCCAGTGGAAGGTCTTGGGCTGACACTGCAGACCAAGCCAGTGGAGGGTCTAGGTTGGGCCATGTAGATCAGACCAGTGGTGGGTCCTGGGCTGGGACACTTGATCAGTCTGGTGGTGGGTCCAAGCCTAGATTTGAAAATCAGACCACTGAAGAAGGGTCTTGGGCTGGGGCTGGTGGCCAGGCTGGTGGAGGATCCAAGTTGGGGCCTGAAGACCCGTCCAAGGGAAGGTCATGGTCTAACTCTGGGAATCAAATCAATGGAGGATTCTTGGTTGGGGTTGTGGACCAGGCCAATGGAGGGTCCTGGACTGGGGCTGGGCATTTGGCTAGTGGTGGGCCAAAGCCTATATTTGAGGATCAGGCCAGTGGCGGAGGGTCTTGGGCTAATGCTGGGGACCGGGCTGTTGGAGATTCTAGGCTGGGGCCCAGGGACCAGTCTAGTGGAGATTCCTGGGCTGGCAGTGGTGATCAGGCCAGTGGGTGGTTCTGTCTTTGCCCTGGGAGTCAGATGAATGGAGGGTCTTGGGGTGTGGCTAGTGGCCAGGACATTGGA